AGTATCATGACCAGGCATAAGAAAGATACTCGGGGCAGGGGATTTAGCTCAGTGGTTCCGCTGCCTGTCTCACAAGCGCAAGGACCCGAGTTTGATCCCTGGTATCAAAAAAAAAAAAAAGTAGAAAGATACTCAAATGGCAAGAGCTGGAGGTCTATTTGGTAGAGCAGAATCTGAGTGGAGAAAGTCCTATGAAAATGGTGAGGAATTGTAGCCTCGGTTTGAAAATTGGGTAGAGGAGGAACCAGGTCTAACTTGAAGTATTCAGCATGTTGTGTTCATGGTTGATGCAGCCGATACAACCAACATGCAGGACTTGTTTGTGTTTCATGTTTTCAGCGGCGAAATGGTCCAGCTTTCTGAACCTTATCCCTTTTGCCATCTCATAATTCAAACCCTGAAGTGTCTGAGAATCACTTTATGCTCTGGATACCCCTGCACTATCGGATGCCACTGTATTTCAGATTAAATTGTATCTCTCCTTCTCCATTAGATCCTGTAAAACCCACAAATTAAATGTTTGTGGAAAAATGGGGGGAGTGTTTCTGTACCATAGCACTTTGTATGCCTCAGTTTACTCAGCCTTCCATTCCTCGGTCTTTCTATCCGCCATACATTTATTGCATGTTTATCTTTTTACAGGCCTGTTCTAAGTGCTAATGATACTGAGATTAAAGCCCAACATCTCTGAGGGCGGGTGGTAATTGAAGAGCAGGCAGGGCCATGAAAAAACTTAATATTCTTAAGAATGAGAAGCCTCGTTCACTATTTGTTAGCTGAGAGTAAGAGCAATGACGTAAAAGCTTGACTTTAGACTCCAAACATAAAGATGTTATCCAAATGTTGAGGTAGAAAGAAAGAAACCTGCAAGAGGTCACAGTGAATCATGGTTAGGTCCCCTACAGAGCATGGAAGTCTGCAAGTTAGGTGTTGAGCACAGGAAGCACCTTGGAGCTGTGAACCATCTCGCTGGTGGATGGCAGGAAGACAGATGTGTACCATACTGGACCTAACTGTGCTGGGAGCCATGGATTTGTAACAAGACCAGAAAACACAGTTGATTTGTTTCCTACCAGCCCTTAAATGTTAAGATCCCTGTTGAGCGGCTGGAGAAGCCTCTCTTCTGACCAATCCTCTAGCTCTTCTGATTAGAGGAACATTTGTCTGTCAGAGCTAAAATCCTTAAGCCACAACCTTCACTTTCTGTGAAATTCCTGGGTAACAAATCAAGAGGATACCAAAGGCACAGGCATGGGTTTTGCTCTGACCTGCTAGTGAGACTAAGTACGAAGCTGCCTCTCCTCAGGGTGAGTCATCTCCTTTGAAAGAAAGAATGTCACAGTTTCCAGCCCTCTCAGAACACTTGCTCCCTCTGTTGTCAGTGATTTAGGTTCTAGGCTAACAGATTTTCCCTAAGTTTGTAGCTGTTCTGTAAGGATTCTTGCTTACACGTAACAAAAATGAGCTGTAAGTTAAGCAACGAAGGGTTAGACAAATAGATGTGGAGTTAGCCAGCAGACCAGGTAGAAGAGGGTCCCCAAATCCTGCCACAGGGACAGTCAGACAGTAAAAGCATAGCTGCTACATGGATCGCAGGGCTGCTATTGGCATCTCTAACCAACAGTGGTCGCTGAAAGCTCCTGCAGTGACCTCTGCCTCTTCTGTCTCTGACATTCACTCTCATCCGCCCCAGAATGGGTTCTCCTTGGCTTTGCCTCTTGGAGTTGCTGGCTTCTAGTTCAGAATCTGGAGTGGGTGATCGCACTTGCAGGGATAGCTCATTTGCTAATAGCCCAATTTAAGAAGGCACCAGAAAAAGGAGCGTGTGCAATTTTATACAGTATAAGGGATATGGGCTCTGTTGAAAGTTGAAGCATTGGTGGTCATGAAGAATAACAGATATCTGTTATAGTGCCATGAAACTAGGAGGAAATCCTGCTGTATTGGGAGAAATAAATCTTAAAGCAGTAGACTGTGAGTTTCTCTGTAGTTCCTCTGTACCAGACAGTCTTAACCCATTTATGCTGAAAATGGAAATTTTTTAAATTTTTGCATGAAATGCATCTGTTAGAAAAATTCAAGGAAAAAGAATTTGAAGAGAGCACATTTCATTATGTTCCATTGTTGCGGGCATTCTACAAATGGGTGATTAGGCGTTAAAGTCTTGAATTCTTTGAGTCCTCAGTGCTTCACAAGTTGCCTGGAAAATAATGGAACTTTAGGAAATACTTGTAGAATGCATTAATAAATGCTTGTCAGACAGAGTAGTCCTTACCTTACCTGTGGGTCCCTTGAAACTAGAGGTAGCACCAAACTATATATATATATATAGAGAGAGAGAGAGACAGACAGAGAGAGAGAGAGAGAAAGAGAGAGAGAGAGAGAGAACTCTTTCCTATACGTGCACACAAATTTAAAGCATTTTCTCTTTCAACTAAGTACACCATACACTGTGGCTAAAACTTTAGAAGTTTGAGGTGTAAGAGCAAAACTAACATGAATTTCTTTTTCCTTCACAATTTCACAGAAGATTCATTACTCTAGATCTTAACTTCAACACGTGCTTTTTTTTCTTTCCTTCTGAAGCTGAGAACTTTCTTTTTTTCACTTAAAAGCAGCACTTAGTGGTTTCTCTGTGACATATCTGAACTGCCAACATGACTACTCTTGCACTTTGGGGCCATTAAGGAAAATGAGGGTTACCTGAACATAAGCACTGTGATACCACTGTGATCTGTCTTACAACCAAGGTGGCAACCAAGTGATGAACCGACCGGCAGTGTATACACGGTAGAGGTGGTTCACATTTTGAGTGGGATCGGAGCAGTACGAGATCCCATCACACTATTCTGACAGCACGCAATATTTAAAACTAATTTTAAGTAAGTTTATTTTTCTGACTTTTCCATTTAGTGTCTTTGGGCCTCAGCGGACAACAGGTAACTTAAATAGTGGCAAGGACAACTGTAGGTAAGGAGGGGCTGCTGTGTGTATCCTCTCAACGTGTGTTAGGTAGGTAATTTGTGTCTAGAACTATATTTACCACTGTTGGCAGGATCAAAGAGCTTTGACTAAATAGCAAAGAAAGAAGTAGCGAGAAACAAGAGCTGGGCCGTCAGGAATCAAAGCAAGAGAACGAGGGTCCAGAGTGAAGAAATGCTGCATAGGTAAAAAGTCGACTGGCCTTGAGTCAAATTCCCAAGTTCTGGTTGGGACTGTGGCAGGCAAGGGGTAGAAAGGGCTGAGTTAGAGAGATGGCGGTGATGGAGGAAGTTGAGAGGGCACAGCCCCTGCTGCGAGTGGAGTAGGAACTCTGTCAACACCAGCATTTCTCGGCCCATTGCTGGCTCGTGTCTAGGGAAAGTTGTCCACTTGCTGGCTCTTCTCCAAGTGACTCTCGCGCAAACCGAGTGTAGCAAGCCATGAAATGTTCTACATTTGGAAAGTTCTTAGCACAGCGTCTTGACACGTTGCAAGTACAGTACAACCATTTATTAAATAAATACAAATAAAGGAAAATATGTCAGGGATTGTTTGGATCAAATTGAGCCAGACACCAGGTGTATTCTTTTGCCTTCTGACCTTTGTCCTTTTCAGATCCACCACCTGCATCACACTCATCAGGACCCTCTGTGCTCTTGGCACTGTGTGCAGCACAGCAGCTCAGCCCCCTCTGCCCCTTCACAGTGGGCTCATCATGAAGGGAACTTTCTAGGTACAGCAGCCCAACATCTGGGTTCCCTGATTACTCTGTTCATTGAGCAGTCTCTGTTTTGTGACTGCCGAGGGTAGAGCCAGTGTATCTCCTGTCATTTTTGTAAGTGGAAATTCTAGTTCATGGGATGTATGCACTTTAAATCATCTTCATGAGCATCTACAAAGGAAATTAATGAGGTCTTCTGTGTTGAACAGTTACAGAAAACAGGTCACAGATTTTAGGTTGTTTTTGTCGTGAGTCATAAACCTGGGCTGTCTACTTGCAGAGCTTGTGTTCTGAACCCAATTTTTCTTTTCATAATGCAGGATAGCTGCTTTGTCATCAAAAGTGTTCTTTTAAAGGTCACTCAGGTCTTCGCCTTTATGTACTTTCCTTACATCTTAGCGTACTGTTTGGCAAAATCCTCACCATATATAATTGATACAAGGGCCTGCAAGGTCCTTGGTGCTGCTGCCTGCAAGGTCCTGAGTTCGATCCCTGGTACCAAAAAACAAACAAACAAATAGAATTGATACAGTATATTTTACTTCTTTTGAATTGGCCATATAAGATGGGCAGATTTATTATCTATTCTCCCTATTTTTGTAGTTATGGATGTTTATAACTTCATGAACATTTCAGTTTCAGATCCTTTGCATTTTGCCAAAATTATCTGTGTTGTTTTACTTGGTTAAGGTTTGCAGGGGTGAAATATCTAGTAACTGAATCATTTAAATGTCTAATATGGAAATAAAAACTTTTAAATCTAGAATCTTTAACTCTGGAAAGTGACATCAGTATTGGAGACTCAAAAACTTCCACTTATAGCTGGGACACTCAGGAGGCTGAGGCAAAAGGATCACCTCAAGTTTGAGGCCAGCCTGGGCTACATAATGAATTCAAGGTCAGCCTGGACTGCATATTGAGACCCTGTAAAATAATTTTTTTTTTCCATTCATGTACTTTTAGGAGTCAAAAAGTCCTTCAGATTGTGCCCAAATAAGAGGGTTTTATTGAGCTCAAATGGCCCCAAACCCCATTGGGACAACCAAGGACCCACCAGAGTGTTTGGGAGATCCAGCCGCAGCCCCCAGCATTCTGCTGGAGACCCAGCACTCAAAAGTCACCATCAGCAAGACTGGTGTTGCCAATTCTGTGCCATTCTAAGCAGATATGTCTCTTCTTCATATCCAAACCAGTTTGTTTTGTTATTTTCTTCCTTTAAAAAAAAAAAACTTAATTTCTGCCCCTGAGAAAACTAAAGTTCTTATGGTCTTACATATACTCCAATTTCCTTTGACAGAGAAAAAGACAAGCTTATGAATCTAACCTCATCTGCAAAGGCCTGGAGCTAGAAGCAACAAGATCAGTAAGTGTTAGTCCTTTTATAACCCTTGGCTAACTTATTCTTGGAGATTTAAAGGCTGCCTGGAGTTTGTGGTGGACCCTGGAAATGTGCAGCCTGGCCGTGCGTAGTCAGACTGGCAGGGGAATTGCTCTAAATCTGCCTTCTATGAATCGTATCATTGTTTTTCCAGTAGCCCAAGAATTTAATAATGAATGCATATGTGAACAGTTATTTTCTTCTTTTAAAAACTTTTTAAAGGTTTTCTTAACTATTCAAATAATATAAAATAATAAAATTAGAAAATATAAGAATAGGGAAAATAAAAATCCTGTGAATCTTAACTGTGCAGAAGTTATGTTAGAGTCTTACTGAACTTATCTTTCCTCAAATAAGTATGTATTTTTTTACTTTTCAAAAGAGGGATTATTATTTCACAGTTTATAATTTGCTTTTTCCCTTTAACATATAGTAAATTATTAATAATTTTAGATCATTAGCATTTCAATAGCCACATAACATAATGCATATTATACAAGTTAAATAGTCCATTTCTAGGTTTAGAAAAACAAAATATTTTCCATGGTATAGCATTGCAATGAATGTTGTAGCATTTTTAAGTCACTAATTAACAAGTTTAGTTTTCTGATTTAAAATACTAGTGTTATAGAAGAACTATAATAACAATTTCAATTAATTTTCTTTATAATTCAAACTAAGAGACTCTCAAATTTATGATAATTTCAGGTCTGTTTTGTTCAGTACTGAGGATTGGACCCAGGGCCTTTACACTATACCCCCAGCCCTTTTTATTTTTTCCTTGGAGATAGTGTTTTGCTAAGTTACAAGGCTGGGCTTGAACTTATAATCCCCTTACCTAACCATCTCAGAGTGCTATAGGTCTATTTTTATTATAGCTTCACTTTTTGATGTTCTCTGTAAACGTGGGTTTCTTTCTTTCATTTCTTTTCCTTTTTTAAAAACATAAATATCAGCTCATAAGAATCTGTAAGTCTCAAAATTGTGAAAATAGGTGGTTTGGTTTCCTGATATGTGTTTTTATTCTTCCAATATAGGTTTTGGATGACAAGCTTGTATTTGTAAAAGTACATGCACCGTGGGAAGTGTTATGTACATATGCTGAGATAATGCATATCAAATTGCCTTTGAAACCCAATGATCTAAAAACCCGGTCCTCAGCCTTCCGCCATCTCAACTGGTTCACTAAAGTCCTCAGTGTGGATGAAAATATGATCAAGCCAGAGCAAGAGTTTTTCACTGCCCCATTTGAAAAGAACCGCATGAATGATTTTTACATCGTTGATAAAGATTCTTTCTTCAATCCAGCCACCAGAAGCCGCATTGTAAGTTTAAGCTAAATTTAGTTTCTGTCTTGGGGTGATTTGGAGAATGCTATTGAATTATTAGTGGTTTGGTGTGGTTGGTGTGTTTTTTGTTTTTAAGAAGGAAATATAGATAAATTTATTTTTAACATAGAACTACAAAAATAATCTTTAAGGCATAAAACATGTTGAATATGAAAGACAAGCATAAATTTTGCTATATTGAAAACTTTAGTTCATGAAGAGATCACTGAAAATAAAAAAATCTATCACAACTTAGATTTTCACAGTCTAAGAAACTGACAAAGGATTGGTGTCAACAGCATGAAAGTGATGTCTTATAAATAGGTAAGAAAAATGGGCAAAAGCATTAATAGACATGTCACAGAAGAGGAAACTGAGATTACCAACAAATAGATGAAGATGTTCAGTATATCACATCACACTCATTAGTGATCAGGGAAATGCAAATAAAGACAATAATACAATATGATTTTGCAGCCTTCATTTAAATTTAAAAGCTGCAGAATAGCAATTATTAGAGTGGGTACAAATTCAACACGTGTTCTTACTGGTCAGAGAGCAGATTGTTCAATAATTTTGGAACAACATTGAATACTTTGGAAAAAAACTGACTATTCATATACCCTAAAACTTAGAAATTCTGTTCTTAATTATTCCATCAAACTCATTTACATATTCAACAAATGTCTAAACATGTTCATATCATTCTATTTAAGGAATAACCTGGAAAATAATCAAGTTGCTATCAATTGGATTAATAAGCTGGTATATTTACAATAAAATATACAGTAGCCAAATGAATAAAGTCCAGTATTTACAAATATGGATGAATATTAGCAATGCAGTACTGATAAGTAAGCAATATAACTTAAAGATTATTAATGGCATTGTTTAAAAACTCATTCTCAGATTATATATCTATCACCTAAAAAAACACTGGAATCTTGGTACACATTTTAATTATGTTTTATCTATTTTTCAATGAAAAGAATTAAAACAGTATCTAAAACCAGTTTTCATATAAAGTATTTGAAACTCATATTTGGTTTTTGAGACAGGGTCTCACTATGTAGCTCAGGCTGGCCTGACCTCATTGTGTAGTCCAGGCTGGCCCCCAACTCACAGGGATCCTCCTGCCTCAGCCTCCTAAGTGCTGGGATTATAGGCATGCATGACCATGCCCCAAGGTTTTGGTTTTAAAAGCTGAAAACAAATTTAAAATGCCTACAGATTCCTGTTGCAGTATAAACAATGTTTAGAGGTTGTTTCTACTATATAAATCACATACTCTGTTTTGGAATCTTTTTAGGTTTACTTCATCCTCTCTCGGGTCACGTATCAAGTGATAAACAATGTTAGCAAGTTTGGGATTAACAGACTTGTAAGTTCTGGAATCTACAAGGCAGCATTCCCTCTCCATGATGTAAGTCAAATGGCGGAAGTGGCCTAAGTGTACTGTGGTGTTGACAGTAGGGAAGGGCTCACCTTCCTGACCTTGTGTCTCCTCAGTACGATAAAGAGAATGGTATACTGCAAGGAAACAAGCTCTTGAAGGGCAGAAAGGAACCTGACCATTTTTTTCATCAGTGGATCTAAGGCAGAGAAGATGCTGTGAAGGAAGGAGTGGGTGAAGGAATAAACAGTTTTCTCCCGCAGTTAATGGCTGCAGCAGTATCGATTAGCAGCTCCTCTAATCAGCATTTCTGGGGCAAAAACCTCTACTCTGCTATTTTCTAGTTAGATGACCTTGTAAAAGTCACTTACCTGTCCTGTTTCTCAGTTTCCCTGTCCATAAAGTCAGGGTAATAATAATACTTACCTCATAAAGTTATTATTAGGACTGATCCATGTCAAATGTTAGTCTCTGGCATATATTTAAGTGTAAGCTATTTTCATAAATTGCTACCAAATGCTGTCATCAAACAGAAAGATATGAGTTCTTTGTAAGGGAAATACATGTTAGAAATTCTCATTTATCCTTTTCCATACCATCGACTTTTTCTCCCCTAAAGTACTCTTTTGAAACTTGCCCTGGACTATGCCAGTGCTTTTAAAAAGACACCTGTCTGCATTCTTGTTATAATAGCAAACCCCAGAGTGTTGTCATTTTTGAAAGACTATATTTGGAGGCCACAGCAGCCCTTCAAATTCAAAAGTGTATCTGTGACGGACCACATCTTCTATGGAGTCAGATTTTTAAAATGTGACAACCCAGACCCTTAGTGATTCCTTAAATGCAAGGACAGCTGTTGAAATAAATTTGGTCATTAAGTACTGTATTATATGACATTGTTACTCTGTCACATACATTATCGATTTATTTGAATCTGTAAAGGAAAGACTTCAGGACTGAGGATTTAGCTGAGGTTCTACCTGCCTGCCTTGCAAGCAAGCACAAGATCCCAAGTTCAATCCCTGGTACCAAAAAAAAGACTTGAGGTTGATCATGACTGCTCTGTGCTCCTGAGGGATGAAGACAGTATTGAGAGATATAGGACAGAAACACTAAACACTAAACCCTATTTGGTATATGTGGATAAGACAAGCTGGGAAGAGGGAGCTGAACTTCCTGATGTGTCCATTGTGGCTGTCCAGCCCAATAGCCTATGTGCTTCATTTTTGTGCCCCACCAAAATTAGCACCTATGGCATAACATAACTTGGGGGGCACTTGCAAATAGTCATCCTGATTATTAATCTGGGATGCCAAAGTGCAATAGTATTCACGTGGCATTTGTCCCCACCCAGGTCTTTTCCAGGAAAGCCTGCATATACAGCTGTCCCATAGCCAGGCCTAGAGATGAGCCTGAATGGAATGGTGTTTGGGAAGAAGGGCCATTGAAGTCTGGCCTCAAGCTAAGGGTTGGCTGGGTGGTGACCTGGTTCTAGTGTATGAAGGACAATGAGTCAGACCAGAAAAAAGGCCAAGCCAATTTAAGCAGAGGCAGGAGGTTTTGTTTCTTGAGTAGACTGAATTTGTAGCATGACAATCATTTTCTTTGTTGCTTATTTTCGATATGTTGTCACAGAATAACTGTTGAACTGGGGGAAAAAGAAATGTGGGTATAGAATGGTCCTGCTACTAACCAGCCAAAGGCCCTGGTTCTCCCATGGTTCGAGGGGTGGGGTGGCCCTCGGGTGTTCCCCTACTGTAGAGATTTGCTGTTGGATGACCCAATTTTTCATTGTTTATTGCTTCCCCACTTGGGGAATATTAAGTATTCCTGGCATTCCCCCTGAGTTTCTACATTGTACCTCAGGATTATAACATCCAGGCATTGATCTCTACCCACATTTGCAACTGGTCCTCACTAAAGCAAGTGAGGGGACGTTTTTCACAAATGTGACTCTGAAGTATTAGGATCATATTTTGTAAATAGATTTGTGAAAATATGATTATGATGCTCATTGGGTTGCCCTCTGCTTCTCAGTGCAAATTTGGCCAACAGTCAGAAGATCCCAGCTGCCCTAATGAACGATACCTTCTGTACCGAGAGTGGGCTCATCCTCGGAGCATATACAAAAAGCAGCCCTTGGATCTTATCAGGTGAGGAGTTGGAGAGTGCCCTTCTGGTATCCGAGTAAGAAAATACTCAAAGGACATTGCCAACCAGGAAGCTGATGCCAGGCTCTGAGCTGGGTTTTTATGGAGTCTTGTCCTAAGTGTCTGTTGAGGCTTCCTTGCGTAGGCAGGACTGAATCATCACCCATGGGGCTCAGTCCCTACTCTTTGCCAGTCCATCCAGTATCAGTCACATGACTTACAGTCGTGACTCTCCAATCATGTGATTGCTCTGTCATGGCCAGTCCCATCCTGAGTTTTCTCAGTAGCACAGTCTAGGGTCCACAAGATACTTCATGGGTGGTGTAAGCTCTCCTGTGTAGTCCAGTGGGCCCACCATGAATGAAAAGATTCTAAGGGCTTAGAGGTTCCTTTCAGCAGTTGGGAACAAAGACCTGTTGTTTATTGTAGAGGAATAAATAGTAGATTTAACTTTTACCAAATAGTAAGACCTATAAATTTTCACTCCTTTCCTGAATCTGCTGTTAAAGACTATGTCATTGTATCTCACAAGAAATGATGAGCAGCTCAGGGCTTGTCTTCACAATGCCCCAGTGCTGGCAGCTTTTCAGAAGCTTGTGTGGTTTGGGCGAGGTGGAGGATCCTTACTGCTGGAGAGAGTCTGAAGAAATGCAGATGAGCAGATAACAAATTAATAAATAAAAAAACTCCTTAATTGGAATACAATAACTGAAGGAGATGGGGGAAGAACAGTTGTCTTTGAGTAGTGACATTTGAGCTGAGACTTGGGTAGTGAAAAGAATGGAGCATTTTGAGGATTTGGAAGAAGTCATTCCAGAAACAGAGGTAGCTTATACAGTGTCCCTGAAACACAAACACATTTGATCAAACTAAGGAAATGGGAAAACCAGTACTAATGAGGAAGAGAATGATGAGACACAAAGAGGGCTAGCTGGAGCTCAGAAAGGAAGTTAGACTTTCTGTGTAGTGAGAAGCAACTGTGATGTTTTAAATAATTCTGTCTCATTCACATTTTGCAAAGATGAAGAGCATGGTTTACAGGGGACATAAGACTCAGACTAGGTAGAGTCTATTAGTGTGAGCCAGTTGAGAGATGGAGTGAGCAGATTCAGGATGTCTTTTGTGGGAGTACAGCCGAGGGAATTGGTTATGGACTGGAAGTAAAGAGTGAGGAGGAGCGGGGAACCAGGTTGGCCTCAAGTCTGTCCAGAGACAAGTGTCTGTTCTTTCTTCTGGCTTCTCGGTGCCTCATTCAGGTGCCCTACTTGGGAAAATGCTTTACCTTTATAGTAAGAGTTTTTAAAACACTTGACTAGTTTGTTTTGCATTTTATTATGGGAAATATACAAAAGTAGAATAGTATGGCAGGCCTGAGCCGATGTATCATCCTGTTCCAAAAAGTTCTGAACTCACAGCCCTTCTTGTTTCATCTTTACCTCTTTTCCTTTCTCCTCCACTGGATCATCTTGAAGCAAATTCCAAATATTGTATCATTTCATTGACATCTATTTCTAAATATATTAGGATTTTGCTTCTTGAGACAGGGTCTTGCTATGCAGTTCAGGCTGGCCTTGACCTCACTGGGTAGCCCAGACTGGCTTTAAATTTGGGTTATCCTCTTGCTTCAACCTCCAGAGTGCTGGATTCACAGATGTGTGCCACCACACACGGCTGTAAATACTTTAAGCACAGCCAGAATACCCTTTAAAACAAAAGTGATAACTCCCTAACTTCATCAAATAATCAGTGTTCAGATTTCCTTGTCTAAAAAAGTATTTCTAGTGTTTTAGTTCAAATCAAGATCCAAAGTTCAAATTTTGCAATTATATAAAATATCTCAGATTTTCTCTGTAAGTTTTTGTTCATTTCTTGTTTTTCATCCAGTTTGTATAAGAATTCCTTGCATCTGGTTTTTTTTCCTGCATTGCACGTTTATTCCCTCCATGGCATTGCTAATATTGCTGAGCATGTTCCTCTGTCCTGTGCATTTGCCTGACTTAAGGGACGTGATCCTCATTGAGGAGATTTATCAACTTCATGTGAAATACTTAATACATGGAGTTGGATGCTTTTATCAGAGGGATCATACTGTCCAATCATCTCTCTTTTTCTGTGATGCTAGTAGCCCTTAATAATTCTTGCTTTATTATTTTATAGCAATTTCATTTCATAATTTCATTTGATCAGACTCTCATCTCCTCTTCCCTCATTTATTAGCTGGATTAAAGTCCTAAAGAGGTACCTTTATTAACCCCATTTACCCTACACAGTAAGATTTTAAATGAAGATGTTTGTATGTGTGTGAATACAGTCAGCCCCCACGGAACCATGGGGACTGGTTTCAGACCCTCTGAGGATAAGGAAATCCACAGATATTCAAGTCCCCTGTATAAAATTGTGTAATCTTTACATATAAACTGTGTGCATATTCCCGTATACTTTAAATAATCTCTAGATTATTTATAATACCTAATACAATACAAATGCCATGTAAATGGTGGTACTCTGTTGTGTAGGGAATAATGACAAGAAAAAAGTCCGCATATTCATTATGGAGAGATTGTTTTTCTCCCAGTATTTTCAATCAGTAGTTGGTTGAGTTCAAGGATGTAGAACCCTTGCATGTGGAGGGCTATTTGAGGTTGACATTGGAATGAAACTTTCATTTTATTAATCTCCTTTTGTAGTAAATCTGTATCATCAGTTGGCAGGATGGTAAATCTTAATCAGTGGAAGAGAAACAATATTCCTACTATTTTAAGTACATTTGGCATAAGGGGAAAGTATTTAGCTATTCTCTGTCCCTGGCCCACACGTGCTTCCTGCATTGCTTCGCCAGTAACCTCTTGAGCAGGGAAACAGACTCTTCCCAAAAAGCAAACCAAACAATTTGGAAAGAGCAACTATAGGAGAAAGACTTTGCACAGGAAAAGAGAAAATTTCCCCTCCAAACTCCCATTTGCACCATCAGAGAAAAGAAGATGTGTCCACACAACAAGGGTAGGGTTCTGTATAGGCGTCATTGTGACAGTAAACCGTAGCTCATGGAAATTTAAAATGTGATAGAAAAACTCCAGTAAAGAAATCCAGGTTGAAAGATGTGTGGTGGGATTTATTCAAAGAGTTGAATTGGAACACCGTGAGGAAATTATACCACAGGGGAGAGTCTGGGATTTAATTTGTTGATAAGCACACACAACACTAAGCAATGAACCATCAAGACAATTATTAACTTGAGGAAAAGCAAAACATTTGGCAGGAAGGAAAAAGTAATTATAGCAGATGACTTGATTCAGTTGTGAAAAGAATCATACTAATGTAAAACAAGAATATTGATCTAACTAAAAATTATAATATTAACTGTGCTGAAAGAATGGAAACAGAGATGTGGGTGGATAGTAAGGCAGGAGGTTGAAAGAGAGCTTAATTCTCATCTTCTAGACTAGAAGGTCAGTGATAAGACACAAAACTGAGAGATCAATAGGCAAGACTTCAGATTAGCAAAATGGAAGTGATACTCAAAGAATCAGCTCTGAAAGTTGGATATGGGTGCATCTGGGCAACAGGAGACAGGGAAGATGGTTGAGGATGGCTCCTTTTAAGAGTCAGCCTGTTTACAGTTTTGATACAATGAGCACATACCTACAAGTTTGGTAAATCAAAGCTGATTTTACAAGATCGATGTTAAGAGCTGGATGTTTTTGGCAGAGGCAGTGATCAACAAATATGGCATTTGAAGGGATCCTCATTATCCCCAGCTTCTGAGTACTAGGAGATAGGTTTCCCTGTAAGAATTGGAAAACATTTCCAACCTTGCCTGCAGTGTGACAGGAATGCTTTAGGAAGTCATGACCTCTCTATCACTCTAAATATCCACTTAGGGATTATGTGAGCAACTCTCTAAATATGACAAGATATTTTTACTATTGGGAGATTGGACCAAGCAACTTCTCAGGTTCTTTTTGATTTTAAATGTGACACGTTCAGGATAGAGGCTTATGAGAGTTGTATGAGTCTCTTTTCACTACTGTAATGTTATCCTCAAAGCTAGGTGTTTTCTAAGGTTTCCTTAGCTCACAGCTTTGGAGGCTGAAAGTCCAAACAGCATAGAACCAGGTCTTAGGAGGCTGCATCATGTCATGGCAAGAGGCCATTTGTGAAGGAGAGCTCACAGGAGGGGAGGGGCCGGCCATACTGTTTCCATAACAACCTCTGAGGGGAACTCATGAGAACTCTTTAATTCATTCTGAGGACAGTGCCCTCTGTGACCTCCCGCGGGGCTCATACAGGTCACACCACCTCTTAACACTTCCACACGGATGACCAAGTTTCAAATATAGGCACCCTTAGGTGATACACTTAACCCACTACCTGAATTGCAGCAATAATGCATCACAGAAAGCATAGCAGAAAATGTGTTGCGACGTCTTACACCCATAGCCAGGCTTTTCTTTCCCAGGCACTGTTCTGAGTCTGCCACTTGTTTGCCATCTTTAAGGCAAACCACAAAACTTGTCCATGAACTTTGTCCATCCTGTCTTCTACTGTCCCGTCAGTCCCACCCTTCCTTTTCCTCATGGATGTTGCCTTCAGTCCCTTGCTGCAGTCCTTCAACTTGCTCCGGTATAAATGAATATGTTAAGCTATTTAAATGGAAAATTAAAATTCCATGTAGAGAAAAACATGCCTATTTTGATGTACTTGAATCTTCACCATGTTAAAATGGAGTAAACTGTTATAATACAATTTTCCATTTAGCCAATGTTGCCACCCAAAAATGTGCTGCCTGGGGCAGACCCCCCACCACCCCCAGCGATACCTCCCCTTCAGCCAAGCCTGGGGCCTGTGGCACTGGTCCAGCCCAGGGCCCCATCAGAATCTCCTAGGACTCCAGGTCCTCAGAGCTATTTCCACTAGGTAAAGCCTGGCTTTGTAGCCCTCCTCTGTACAGAGCCCAGAGTCTTGCACAAACCCCAGAGCCCAGGAAATCTGCAGGTTCCACAGACCAAACACCAAGATGCAGAAGTGAATCACTGTAGGAAGACTGCCTCAACAGTTACCGAAACAATCATTTCATTGTTTTCCCTCCATCCCTAAACCTTTCTGCTGATGCATTAGGACCTCCCTTTAAGGAACAATTCCACCACTGCTTCTTGACTGCCATGCCCTTTTCTAATCTCGCCTGCCTAGCCCCTTCCATTTTACTCAGAGTACACCATCAATCACTTTTTATGGCCTAGGACAAAACAGAAGTGGCAGATAGCAGCAAATGCGTAGTGGTTGTATCGGTCCTCCCCTCGCCCCTTCTCACACCAGTTTTATAGAATTTTGGTCAGACAGACATTCCACTACAGCTTCGTGCAATGGATCTCCTTATTCACATTGCATTCTTGATGGTTTCAGTTACGTGTGTCCCGGGAGGAAGGATGAGGGTGGTACAAGATACTTTGAGAGAGAAATCGCTTTCACGTACCACTTATTACAGCAGAGTACTAAAATTGTTGTGTCTTATTATTTGTTATCTCTTATTGTTCATATTTCTAAATCAGACTTTATCACTGGTGTATTAAATGTATATGGAACAATTGGCTCGGTGTATATAGGGCTCAGTACTCGCCAGGGTTTCAGGCATCTACTAGGCGATCACGGAATGTGCACCCCACAGGTCAGGGGGACCATGGCGTTCTCATCAGTCGTTTTCTTGCTATTGTTTGTGATTTATATTTCCTCCAAAAGCAGTTCCTAAGTATGTAAGGGCAGGTAACAGAGCAGATTGTCCATTTGTTGCATGCATATTAAAAATAACCCCGGACTGTGTGTAAAACAGTGCTAGCATTTACGAAGAACAATAACACTCTGCGCCGTATTCAGCATTTGTCCCTGTCTTGGTCTCTTCTAAATTCACTTTGCTTCAACCAGCATATCAGTTACGGTGATCAGTACTTGTGAAGTGTAATAAACCTTTGTTTCGTAGACTCCAGGGTCTGCTTTGAAGGATGGATATGTCTTAAGGGTGAATTGAGTCAGAAGTTTATGTGAAGCCTCCTTTATTTCAAGTAAAAAATTAATATTAGGGTGAAGGTGCTGAGTGACTCTTTGTGTCTTCTAAAAATAATTTGTCTTTCTTCAGGAAATATTACGGAGAGAAGATTGGAATCTATTTTGCTTGGCTGGGCTATTACACTCAGATGCTCCTCCTGGCAGCCGTCGTGGGGGTGGCCTGCTTTCTCTACGGATATCTTAATCAAGATAACTGTACATGGAGGTAACCTTGGTTTATTCCTTATTGCCACACTGAAAAGATGATTGGACATAAAATTATTTTCAGGGCTTTCGACTATTTTGGTTAAAAAAGCAAAACCACTCATTGCCTTGATTGATATATCCTTTGTTCTGGGCATAATACCGAATGAAAAGAAATTATCAGATAATCCAACCCAGCCTCTGACAGTAATATTACCCTTAGGAAACACTCCAGCATTTTAAGAGACAGTACTTTGTTTGAAAAAGAAAGGCAGCCTGGCTGGAGGATCGGCCTTGAACCTCTGGGGCCAGAGGAATGCTTCATTCATCCCTGCAGATGTGGGCCAAAGAGCAGCTCAGATTTCTTCAGAGTTTCAATGGAAAAATTGGGGAAGCTGGTGGGTTTTTTTGGTTTTTTAGTTTTTAACAGTGACTTCTCCATCTTTATTAGGAATTATATGTTTCAAAACTCAAGTCATTGTTTTGTTTTTGGCTTTTACAGTATTATTCCTTACAGTGGCAGGGGAAAAATAAATGATAGATAATTTGTTGCTGGATGCCAGAATTCAGACACTAGCTGCACTGTCTAAAGAGAAGTCCCCACTTGCCAGAGCACTGGGATTTCACCATCACTGTTCACAACTGTGTTATCTTTTCCCCTGCTTCTGGTGATCTCCGCCCCCAGAAGTGATGCAGCCCCGAATCAGCAATTTTCTCTTGGTCATCTGGCCTTTTCCCAGATGTAACAGCCACATAAAAATTTCTGGGCACCAGTAATGAGTCAGTGACCTACATTTTCAAGCCTGGCTTCTGCAGCAGAACACTTTCATGGCAGCCCTGACACACAGGCATAATTCCCCGTCCCATTTAGCAGAGGATTCTGAACTTTTTGTGCCCATTGTGGCCTCTTGATTGCAAAGCTGCACATAGATTTTAAAGTACTTTACTTTCTTTGTTGAAAAAGAGTTTGGAAGCAACAGCTTAATGTTGATACCTTTTCCCTGAATTTCTCTTGGGCGTCTTCATTGTTTTCTATGTCTTCCCAGCTTAAACAAAATAACAACAAAGCCATCTCCAAAGTACATTTTCACAGTGGAAAATTTGTAATTATACAAGGTTCTCAAGTAGTTGTTCTTATTATAACTTATTTTATCAAATCATCTTGATGACCACGTCACATAGTTCCTCCCATTTCACACAGACCCTGGGGTCAAAACTGTTTGGCTTTAATTATTAAATAGCTTTAAAATGTTTAGAAGATATGAACTTTAAATATTTTCAGCTCTGTTAAGTACTTAGTAGATTGACAAGAATAGAAAATATATTTAAAACATGAGGAATAGTGATCTGTCATCCAGTTTAAGAAGAAGCAGTCAGGTATGGTGGCACATGCTTATCTCAGCACTCAAGGAGGCTGAGACAGGAGCATTTTCAGGCTCTGCGCTCAGTCTCGAGTACAGACAGAGGCAGAGAGAGAAGGAGGAAAAACATTATTGTTGCCTGTAAGTTTTTTGTTCAATTTTATCCCTTCCCTTTGTACTTTGGAAAAAAACTACTGTACCAAATTTTGTACTTAGAATTCCTCTGTATTTACCTTTGAAATATATTTAATTTTACATGGCTTTGAAAATATGTATATACATGTATAAGTGGAGAGATTACTACAGGTATTTATTTCCTCCTCTAAAAAATGCATAAAGTCTGTATTTTTATTTATTTATTATTTTTATTTTTTTATTTTTTTATTTTTTGGTTTTTTGAGACAGGGTCTCACTATGTAGTTGAGACTGACCTGGAACTCACTATGTAGCCCAGGCTGGTCTCGAACTCACAGCGATCCTCCTGCCTCAGCCTCCCGAGTACTGGGATTACAGGCGTGCGCCACCACACCCGGCTGTATCTTTTTTAAAATAAAAGTTTTATTGAGCTATAATTCATATAGTGTACATGCACCCATTTAAACTGTAAGATTCAATACTCACAGACTTTGCAGCCATCACCACCACCTAATTTTAGAACATTTCATCTCCCCTGAAAGAAAGCAGTGTCCATTAGCAGCCTTCTCCTAACCCCCTTTCCCCTAGCCCTTGGCAACCACTGATCTGCATTGCATTTCTGTGGATTGGTCTGTTCTAGCATTTCACAATGGTGGAACTGTAACAGTATACAATCTTTTGTGACTTCTTCTGCTTAGCTTAATTTTTTTCAAGGTTTATCCATGTTGTAGCATTTATCAGTGCTTGCTGCCTTTTGTAGCCAAATAATATTCCATTGCATGGCTATACCACGTTGTTTATCCATTCATTGTTTGATGGACATTAGGGTTCTAGCATACTTTGGCTATTATGAATAATTCAGTTGTGACTGTTCATTGACAAGTTTTCATGGGGACATATGGTTTCAAATCTCTTGAGAATATAACAAAAAATGGAATTGCTAGGGTACATGATGTCCCTATGCTTAATATTTTGAGGAACTGCGCAAATATTTTCCAAAGTGGCTACCCCATTTTACATTCTTGTCAGCAATACATGAGGATTTCAGTTTCCCCACACCCTAGTCAGCACTTCTTTATGGTTTTTGGTTTTTTAATATTAATCACCCTAGGGCCGGGGATTTAGCTTAACGGCATAGCACCTGCCTGGCAAGCGTGAGTACAAAAAAATAAACTATTAATCATCCCAATTGAAATGAAGTGTGTCATTGTTGCTTTTTATTTTTCTCATGCCAGTGATGTTGAACATCTTTTCAGGTACTGTCATTAGCAGAGCTTCTTCGAGAAACATCTGTTCAAGTCCTTTGCCTACTTTATGTCATCGTGTTATTGTTGAGTTGTGAACATTCTCTATGTATTTGGGATAGAAGTCTCTTATTGGATATTGTCTTAGTCTACTTGGTGTGCTATAGCAGAATGGCATAGACTGGGACAAAACTTTATTTCTCACAGAAGTAGAAGATTAAGGTACCAGCGGTTGGTGCTTGGGGTGGGCTGCATCCTCTGGAAGGAATCTTGTGTCCTCACAGGGCAGAAGAGAAAGGGCCAAGCTCCCCCTGTCAGATCCTCCACAATGCGGGTATAAGGGAAGAGCACTCGCAGGACCCACCTCTAAATATTGTCACACCTGGAACACCGGAAGTTCTGAGGAAGCACATTCAAACTGTAGCAGATATATTAAAAATGTTCTTTACCATTTTGTGAGTGTTTTTTCACTTTCTCAGTAGTATCCTTAGATGCACCAGCAATTTTCACTTTTGTGAAAATTAACCAGTTAACCTGTTTTTGCCTTTGGTTATGTGTGCTTTTAGTATCATATCTAGAAATTAGTAATCCAAAGTCATGAAGATTTTCAGTGTTTGTCTTCTAAGAGCCTAATAGTTTTAGGCCTGGGATTCATTTTGAGTTAATTTTTGTAAATAGTATGGGGTAGGGGCCCAACTCTTTCGTTTTTGTGTACGTATTCAGGTGTCCCACCATGGTTTTTGAAAAATTTCTTTCCCCCGTTGAATTGCTGTGGCACCCTTGTTGAAAATCAGTTGCCCTAAGATGAGAGTTTTTGTATTCCCGGTTCTTTTCCAACTATTAACATTCATCTTTTGTGCAAGTGCCACATGATATTGATTGCTTTGTAGTAAGTTTCGAAATAAGTCTTCTTCTTTTAAAGATGGTTTTGGCTGCTCAGCATTTCCACACAATCTTGATTGACTGCTTAGTTCCCCCTACTTTAAGTCCACACTTTCTTGTAGTTTTTATTTTGAGAACTTGGCATATTAAATATGATAAGATAGCAGAGATGGAAGTCAGATTTTCCCTCTTCTCGGGGTTTTTGTTACTTTTGTTTTCTGTTATCTCTGCTGCTGTTCTTCATCTGGTTACGTCCCTGAACGAATTCTGTAAAGTCTGTGTTCTTTGACCTGTGTGGCTACTGAAGTCTGTTCTGTAAGTTTAGCTTGCTGGCACCACTAAGGTCCTTTTCTTTGTATGTGTGCGTCAGGGGAGGCTGAACACTCAAGACTGTGTCCAGCAATCCCTGAGCCTTGCTCCATCCTGCTTGGGCACAACCTCAAGGCTAGCCAGAGGTGATGGATTACAGTTTTCTTAGGTCTCTCCTGGCCTCATGCAACTGCCCTACACATGCATGGGGACTTCTACAATTCCAAATATGCACTGGAGCCTTTTAAAGCCCTTGTGGATGCCTTAGTTCCTGATTCTTGCTTTGAAGTTCATGAGTTACCTTCTTGTTAACTCACTCTGGTATCATGGCTTCAGGCAGTTGAAGTGTTAAGTAATTTCTGCTGCTGTCTTTCAGTGGGCGCTTTGGGGATTGGGCTGTTTGCACATTTGAGCTCTCAGTATGAAGTTAAAGAATGACAATTTTCTGAGCGTTGAGCTTTTCCGCGGCTCTGCTAGAAAAGTCAAACATTGATGGTTCTCTAGGGATGAGAGTTTTGGGCAGCTCCAGTCTACTGCCCTGTTCAGTGGCTACCAGGTCACTGTTCTTCATCACTGCCGTGATTGTGAGGCTGTTGTTTTTTAAGGCTGACATGAAGCTGGGGAGATAGGGTGGGGCACTGGTCAAGTTAACATGCCCCAAAGCTTACTTTGGGAGGCAGTATTGGGTACTGAACCCAGAGCCTTTGCACTGAGCTACATTCCTAGTTCTTTTTTTTTTATTTTCTAACACAGTGTCTCACTAAGTTGCTAAGTTACATAGCCTGTCTTCAAACTTGGGATCCTTCTGCCTCAGTTTCCCATGGTGCTGGAATTACAACTAAGCCTGGTTTAGCTCACTATTCTTATAAATATTTAACCAGCTTTTCTCAAATAAGTGTGCTCTAGATCACTGCAGTTTTTGGTTTATTTCCAGAGTCCTACCAGTCTGATTTTGACAATTCCTGGTGCACAGTTCTTTGCTTGTTTGAGATAGGGTCTCACTGTATAGCCAGGTTGGCCTCAGACTCGTGTGCCTTAGCCTCCCGAGTGCTGGGATTACAGGCGTCCACCACCACACTTGACTATCTGGTTCATAATTGTTTGACATTATTTTTGCGTGTTGTGACTGTGTGTGAGCTTTTGTTCCTTCATGTAATTTATAGCTTAAGCGGGAGATGGGACATCTTTAAATAGTGATTCTTCCAAATTATGAAAATCATAGTATAGGCCTTCTTCTTCACTATCTTCTGAACAGTTTTTAAATCTGAAGACCTCTTGGACTGACTTTATCCCTATACTTTTTATGCCATAGAAAATCACATTATGGGGCCAGGGATTTAGTTCAATGGCTCCACACCTGCCTGGCAAGCCCAAGGTCTTGAATTTGATCCCCTGTACCAAAAATGAAAATGACATTTTAAAATTATTTCCTAATTATAGCAGATGTATGAAGACACATTTTCTTCTTCTGTGCCTATAAACATTTTGTATATTGACTTAGTATCCAGCAAACTTTACGGAGCTCATTCATTCTAGTAATTAGAAAGTTTCATTGAGTAATCTAAATAAATAATCATGTACTGTATTAGCGATGAAAGTTGTCTTAGCCAAGTGTGGTTATGCACACCTGTAAGCCTAGTACTCAGGGAGACTGAAGCAGGAGAATTGCAAGTTCATTCTCACCCTGGGCGACTTAATGAAATCCTGTCTCAAAATATAAAATATTTTTAAAGGGCTAAGAATATAGCTTAGTGCAAATAAGCTGGGTTCAATCCTGAGTGCCACAAAAAATGTCTTTCCTTTCTTTCTGACCAGTCTTCACAGCTTTATTGTTCTTCATTGCGCTGGCAGGGACCTCTAAAAAGTGAAGTGGTGATAGTAGAGCCCTTTGTCATATTTCTCAGTCAAAGGAAATACTTTCAACATTTACTGTTATGTATGATTTTTATAGCTTTTATGTAGCAAGACTTTATCTGGCTAGTGAAGTTTACTTCTGCTAGTTTTGTAAAAGTGTAGTTTCGTTTCTTATGAATGGATGTTGGATTTTATCATCCTGCTAGCAAGGAAGTTCTTTCCATTAAATTTTTATGTTTTTATTTCTCTTTAGCAAAGAAGTTTGTGATCCCGATATTGGTGGCAATATCATAATGTGTCCTCAGTGTGATAAGCTTTGTCCATTCTGGAAGCTCAATATTACTTGCGAATCCTCTAAGGTAATTTTTACTATTCAGAATATTTACACATAAATGAAACTTTTAAAATTCTGTCACTTAAGTGTAACATAGAAATCGTAACTTTTTCCTCTGAGGAAGTTGGAAGGGTATTTTTTAACTAACCTTCCAAACAGTCTGAAAGGTAGTATGTAATGTGTATTTATTCCTTTTTTTACAAATAATAGAGACGAAAAGACTTATCTAAAATCTCATGGAGAGCCAGTAAGGAAATGGAGTTGAAACTATTTCGGGTAATCAAAACAGAGTTGCATACCAACTTATTTTATGAATATGTTTTATTAAATTGATTATTATAAGTGTTTTCCTTGAGTAGAAATGTAAAATTTGTACTTAGGAAATTTGTACTTGTGAGGTTTGTGTTTTCTATATTTCAAAGTTTGTTGAAACTATGCTTGGATTTTTAAAGACGGTGCTGGTCAGATTTATACTATATGTATAAATACATGTGTAGTTTTGTTTATAAGTGATAAAAGATGTTTGTCTCAGAAAACACATCTAGCTCACCTTATACACAAGGGTTGTTTGAGCTCTGAAAATTCAGGAGGTTTAGGAAGTGCACTGAGATCAGAAGGAGCTTACTGAGAAGCAGGCTGGAAATTCCACAGAGAGGTGAAGGAAGATGGTCAGCTTCTGAGCATCTTCCTGATGACCCTGACGTGTCACCTCCGCTCATCATGGTCTTCTTGTCCTGCTGTGAGAGATTAGGAGTCAGTATATGGCCCTAAACCTACTACTGCGAATCTTTTTTTTTTTTTTTTTTTTTCTTGGTGGTACCAGGGATCAAACTCAGTACCTTGCACTTGCCAGGCAGGTGTGGCACCACTGAGCCACATCCCCAGCCCCTACTACTGTAAATCTGATCCCAACAGAATATATATTTTATACTTTTCAAAGTTCTTGTACTGATGTTACTGCTTTTGATAAATACACCAGCTCTGTAAGGTAGGTAAACATAAAATACCTTCATTTTACAAATGAAAACACTAAAGATCTGAGAGATTAAAGAATCAATTTAAGGTCACCCATGGACAATCAGCAAAGCATTGGTGGTAATTCTGTGTTTCTTACCATTGCTGGGTTCCTTGACAGCTGGCAGTGCTACCAGGCACTGTACTCCCAGATCCAGATTTACATGTGAAAACCTATTTCGCCACTTGGTTAAAATGATTGCGGGGCATTGTTAACACGTTTTTTTCTCTTATATTTATGAATTAAAAGAGACTTACTGCCCCCAGCTATAAACATCTCTACTCGATCACACAAAGTAAAAGACTTGAAGATGGTAAGAAGGAAGCCGCTTTCCAGTAATGCTGGCTCAAATTAAGTCACGAGTTAGCACACATCTGGAGGCCCTGTATTTATGCAAACCAATGATAATACTATAGGCAAATTGGACTCTGCAAAAATCCAAGTGGAAAGTCTACTTCGTTCAAGCAGTTCTCTCCCTCATTTCCGCTGCTCAGTCCTTAGCATATGACTTTCTCATGTCTGCTGTACAACTCTTCCATTGTTTTGGAAACCAGTGGGCCCTTGGTTTTAGTACAATTTCTTGAAAGGGCTCTTAAATCTTGCCATTGTGGTGTACAAAGGAAGGAAACATAAAGAAGAATGTGGAAGAAATGGTGAAATGGAAAAAAAAAAGGCACAATTTTAGCTTTATTATTTGTTGGTTAATTCATTCATTCCTTTTTTTCTTCATACATTTGTTTCTGTAACTTATATCACTTTTTGAAAGAGAAGAGTAATCACTAATTGGTATGTATACTAGAAGGACCAAAAAGCTAAAAATAGTAGTATAAAATCAGAACCAAGGAAATGAAGAATCAGTTACACAGAAATAGGGCTGATGCTTTTTATTGTGACACATTGAAAAAGAATTTTAGCTTTGTGGCTAGCATGACCAAAGGAAAGCATGGTAAGTTCTGATATTTTGCTCTTAGAAGTACTTTGTTATAGTTTTTTTTTTCCTTTGAAGGAAGAAAGCATTACAAGTGTTTAAACATTCTGATCAGTTTTTCTACTTCAAGTCATCATATTCAGCACCCTCTTTTTACCTTGCTTCACGTAACCCAGACAGATGCTGATCCAGGACTGCTCTTAACCTGCTGCCTTGCCCTCTCTGTGCCATCCAGCCAAGCAGGCCATGCTAGGCTTCTTACTGAGAAAGCCCCTTGCTTACTTGCTGCTCTTGTTCCCCTTCCATATGGCCGTTGTGGGACACAGAGCAGGGAAGTGAGGCATCTTATTCTTTCTCTTGGATTCTTGATTCTCACACGTTACAAGTATTTAAACTTCATCCAGGTCTAACTCCCCCTCGTAAGAATGCAAAACCTGTCATCCATCTTGAGCTAGGTAGCCAAGGTGATCTTGGCAGTGATAGTAAACTTGGCTGTCCCTTACCACATCTGTTTTTCTCCCTACCCCTGACAGATGTTTCCATTGTCTTTCCCAAGGAGTAGAGCTGAGGTTTCACACATAGAGTTTTTTATTTCCAAACGGGGTGAGCAAAAGTATCAGGACAAATAGGAAGTATCAAATAGAGAAAGAGTTGCATTGATTACTGAAATGGGAATGACATCGGAGGGAATGTTTAATTTGTAACATACAAGAGCTCTTTTTATAGGACTTTTCCTATAATTTACAATAAAGTTTACAGCATAACATTAAAAGACAACTCAAAGATGATGATAATCGAAACAAAAGATTTGAAATATGTGCTTTATAGAATCTCAAGACTAGAGGAGTAGGTGGACACCATTGTTCCCCTACAGCAGTCACGCATTTATTAACTCTGCCTTCCTTGAGCTGGATTTTTTTAAAAGAATAATTGAGTAAGACAATTAAGCATCATGCTTTCTGATCAAGATACCTGTGGATGATCAAGGAGGCATTTGTATGCTTTGGAAACCAGATAGATGAGAAGATCCCTAGGTTTCTTTTTCTTAATAAGAATAACATGACTAGTGTTTTTCCATAGATAACAGTTCATCCATTCTCCATGAGTGTAAAACACAACCCAAAAAAATACGTAAAACAAAGTAGACTGAATTTTCTTTAGCATATGAAAAGTTTGTTTTTCTTCACCCCTACCTAGCTTTTCTACCCAATTGCCATCTTTACTTTTTTCATTTACCTGTTATAAAGTAGATATATCTTTGCCACTTTTGCATTGTCTTTACGGTTTTAAGAAATGTAAAAACACTTATTGACAAAAAATTCGTAGCCAATTGAGAGGTCTTCCAGGAAGTTACAGATGGGGATGGGCTCTTTATGCGCCAGTACGAGCAGAGAAACCAGGCTTAGTAGAGAGCTAGAGAATAGAGCCTTCTTCGGCTGTGTAACATGTTTGCATTATTTATCATCCATGATGATGTAATGTTAGAGAAACCACCTATGTATCCTTCATGCCAATGAGAGCACCTGCCCGCCACAAGATAAAAGACATCCTTGAGTGTGAGGAAACTGGGCTCTTCAGGGGGAGAGCCATCTCCACATACACACAGCTTTGTACTTCTTTTAACAAGAAAAGCAGAAATTCTGATCTTGCTCCTTTGAGGAGAGTGAAATGACAATAAGATGGAAATCATAAGTCTAAAAGTTGCTCACAGGGCATCATCTTCTTACAGCCCCTGCATTCCTTGAATTTATATAACAGCTTCTAAAAAGAGGGCATTTTTCAGTCCTGATGAAGGCTTTAAACTGAATGGAATCTTAGTAGCTGCACTTATTTTCTTTATAGTGATATGGAAAGATTCCCTTGAAAGATGCACTGAATTAATACAGGAAAGGTCGTTTGCTTTTAAAAGAATGAGAAATTCCACCTGTACATTTGTATACATATGATGATTGTTAAACTATGTATCACCTTTAAAACATTGAATATTTCCTTAATTCTAATAAGGGAAGAACTTGATTCATTTACATGTTATTATTTTCCAGAAATTGTGCATCTTTGACAGTTTTGGAACCCTGGTCTTTGCAGTATTTATGGGAATATGGGGTAAGTTGTTTTTATTTTTATACATTCAATTTACTAGTATTATGCAGTTTTATATAGGCTGTCAAACCCACTTGTAAGACCGTGTATTGCCTAAGCTTCAGTTTCGCTAGAGCTTCATTTATAATTCTAAGGCCGTTATATCACTTAGCTTTTACTGCTTAAAAAATACACCTTCAACTGTAATAGTTTAAAACATTATTAAACCCTGTTGCTCAGTTTACTACTTCCCATGGTTCTGTGGGTCGGCTGGAAGGTGGCTCAGTGAACTCTGAGGAGAGCTGGTGGCTCCACTGGGGACAGATGGTCTGGCAGTTAGAAGCCTGGACTGGTTGGCAGAGCTCAGCTGGGAAGGCTTTTCTCTGCTCCATAGGGTCACTCATCCTTAAATAGACTAGCACAGGATTCTTCATGTGGTTTCAGGGTTCCAAAGAAAAGCAAGAGAGAGGACAAGACCGAGGTATGGGCATTTTTAAGCATATGGTTCCATCAAGCTAGCTGATGTCTCATCAGCCAGAGCAGATCATACAGCCAAGCCAGTCTCAGTGTAGGGGTGAAGGATGGGAGGACTACCTCAGGGCTTGGATACAGGGGTATGATTCATTCACTGGAAGCTTTAAACATAAAGTGTACCTTATCTGGAATGCTGGGACTGAAAAACATTTCAGTCTTCTCAGATTTTGGAATATTTGTATAGACTACCAGTTGAGAATCCCTAATCAAAATTTCTGAAATCTGAAATGCTCCACTATCTGAAGTATTTTGAGCATTTCATGTCAGCACTCAAAAATTTTCAGTTTTTGAAGCACTTCAGACTTTTGGGCCTGGGTTTACAACCATCCCGGTAGCTGTGATCCCATCTAATTTTTGTGGGGGTGGGAAAGAATCAACAACAAAAGGATTATGGGTGAGCTTTATTTTTACACTTCTGTATGAATGATTACTTAGTATATTGTTTTATAATACAAATTCTGTGTAATAAGTAAAACAGATATGATCCTAAAGAACATAAGTCCCCACTGTTTTTTTTTACTTTGTATAGCTTTGTTAATTCAATGACCCAATTCTTTTCTTTAAATGCAGACTTCTAAATATTTAATTGATGTAAATATTATAATGTAGAAGAAAAATGTGCATTTTTAAAGATAAACACATTCCAATTTCATCCTGTACAGAAAGGGACAGTAGGGGGCCAGGGATTTAGCTCAGTGGTTTCACCACCTGCCTTGTAAGCTTAAGGGCCTGAGTTCGATCCCTGGTACCAAAAAAAAAAGAAAAAAAAAGCTGCAGAAAGGGACAGTTGGGTTCAGGTTAAAGGAAGGTAGGGGAAAGAACAGACACAAGTTTCTTGAGAAGAGGAAACATCAATCTATACAATTTATAGAAAGGCATACTGCCAGGTATCTTCAGCAGTCTATCTCTTCTGGCATGGTTGTACCTGCAAAGGGACACCAAATGGATCAATGAACAGACAAAATCCAGTTACTATGCACACTTTTTAGAGATGTCAGTTGCCACTTCTGGATAAAAGTAAACTGTAAAGGTGCCAGACTTACTCAGTGCATGACATTGTCATTAGATATTTTCCATGTTCTCGCAGGACACCACACTCTGGAAAAATGTGACACATAAAAATAAAGATCAGATTTATGTAGTAAGATTCCCCTAACTCTGTTGTAAAACACACACCCCCCTTTTGGGTAAGAGCTGAAGTGATTAAACACATGGGTCTGTTCTTTTAATGATGCTCTGAACCACAGTCTCAACTGATTGTAACCTCTGTGACTAACACATCTGCTGAACTCCCTTATACTAATGGATGCTGATTGCAAAATAAAGAAAATATTTTTTAAAAAGCAAAAAAATAGACATTAATTTTGCTAAGATAAACCTCAACTTTCCCAGTAATCTTCCTTTTCTCTGATTACTGACTCTACTAAGTTTATAGAACTGCCTTTTGTGCTGGGCTAATTTTATTTCATCTGATTTTAGAATGCAGAAGACCTTTTAGTGCTGGCTGTAGAATCATGTGTAGATCTTTAAGCATATGTCTATAGGATGAACTCTTTACTTTTTGTTGCTTTGCTTGTTACTGCCTTATGAGAACTGCCACTGTGAACCTCGTTATGGGAAGTCTGAAACTGCAGAACCCGATAGGGGGAGACTCATGTGAAGTTGTTCATATCATTACCTTCATATTCCGGTGGCATCTCTTTTGTCCCAGATGGATGTGGCACTTAGAGTATTTTTCTCCTCACTGGAAATGATGAAAGTTGAGGGTAGAAAAACATCTATACTGAATACAGTAAAATCATCTACTTGTATGAAAAATGTCCTCCCTCATGGGTCAAACCAATTCTCTCCATCTTACTTACGGAACCCTAAGCACAACCTGTGATTGTAGTAAAGGTTCTCAACACATTCACTCTCCCCATTCCTTGTTGCTTCTTAACACTTCCACCTGATTCTCTGTGTCTCAGACTCTTGGCCACATAGATGACAGTTTTTAATTTTCGTATCTGAGGGCTGAATGATAAATAGGACCTAGTAATTACCAGAAAAAAAGTTGAGGCACCTGGCTCACTAAGGATCCATGGAATCTGGAATCCTTACTAGCTCCACAATGGGGATCAGGACATGGCTGTTGCAATTTTTACTTTCCGGGGGTCCACAGCAGCAAGATAACACAGCTTCTGCTACTGCCTCTATTCAACCTGGTGTTTGATTTTAGTGACACAGACACTTCCTTCTCACTGTCTCTGACAGTTATTTTAAAAGTCACATCTAAAACTCTAGCTGCAAGGGAGTCTGAGAAGTGTAGTTTCTAACCTTTGTCAAGTTAGCAAAATGCAATAAAGACTGAGCATGCTAATCTACCTTTGCAAGTAAGCAATGTGGTCTAGATAGTTTCGCAGCCTGTTAAAACATCCCAGATCTTCAGCAGCAAACTCCCATAGTAACAAAACCACATCTACCAGAATACATCTCTTGTCTCTACTCATTGCAGGATGTAACGCCGCAATAATATACTTCTCTGAACCCCTTTTCTGTGTATGGGCATTTTCTACATATGATTCCTATTTTCTTTACATCTAATAAATAACATGATTGAGTGAAGCTGCTTTTATTTCCAAGACCAAAACAACCCTCTCTTTTCTTATATGTTGATGTGAGAGTTTTAAAGTTGACTAGAGCTTCATGGTATATGATTTGCCAGAGAATGAGTGCAGCATTCCCCACTGGAGTTGTACTAGTTGTCTTATTTCAGAGAAAGGGAGCAAAAGACACAGAATTGGACTCCTTATCTCTGATTATACAGTCATTCCTTGTCCTGTGGCTCTCTGTGTGAGACTCGCATGTCCTTTGCCCTGGCGTGGTCTAGAAATACAGTACTCCAAAACACTTGGAAACTGTACCTAGGTTACCCTGCCCCCTACAGTCCTGGCCTCCAAGTGAAATGAAGAACCAAAACTCCCACCCATTCTGTAACTCCGAGGAGTCTTGCCTTCAAGGCTGAGAATTTGCTTACAAAACCATGATATTTCTTGCTTACATTGCAGTCTTAGCACTTAGGCCCTGACGTTCAGGGTTTTTTCCCTGAAGTTCCGGGTTTAATAAACATCAACCATTTTGTCCCTTATGTTCAGGGAGAAAGGGGACGAGTAACCACTAATAATAGCATTGATTAGAATTGCTTATGTTGCATTTTTTTTGGTGGAAAAAGCTGTTTATTTTCATGAATCATCTCCTTTTGATACAGTTGCTAGATACTGAGAAAATGACATGATTTTAAAGGTGAGAAAAATGGCAAGTAGATTAAGCAAATTATCTAAGGCTCTATAGACAGAAAGCAACAAGCACAGAATAAGAAAGAGCCCTGTGAATAATATGGCTGGATCGATGACAAAATGTGACATATATTAATCTGTAGCAAGTTTTTGAAAAGATATAAAAAAAATTCTTTTGATTGTTAGAATCATACTATTTTGTTTAGAGCTGTGAAAACTAGAAGTGACTTAGGAAATCTCAGTCCCATCTCTTTTATTCTACCTCATCTGTTGGGTATTGACCTTTCTATAATGGGAATAAAATGTTGCACTGGGAATTGAACTCAGGACCTTATGCTTGTGAGGCAGGCAACCAAACCACTGAGCTAAATCCCTGGCCCCCTCCTAACATAATGTTAATAGGCTTATGAGATCAGTACTGGCTTGTTTCATTTATGCATATACATCTTGTATTAGTCTGTTTGCCATTGCTATAACAAAACACTTAAAAGCTGGGTAATGGATAAAGAAAAGCTCTGTTTTGGACTTTCAGGAGCACAGTGCACCATTGGTCCAGCTCTGGTGAGGACCCTTTTGGCTGTGTCACATGGCAGATAGTATCAGGACATGACTGTGTGTGAGAAAGATCCCATAGCAAGACAGGAAGCCAGAAACTGGGGAGGGGCCTGTCTTGCTCTTTTATAACAACCCTTGGGGACTGTTTGGGGTCCCATGAGAACTACATAACCACTTCCAAGGCAGTGTCCCTGACCCCTTAATCACCTTCCCCTTCTCAGGAGTTCCACCAGTTCCCAAAACCACCACACAGAGGGTCAGCCTTTGAATGCATGAACCCTGCCCCCGTCAGGCCATATCAAACCATAGCAGGTGCCAAAGAGCAACAGGATTTTAATATTTTTAATCACAATTTTCTTTAAAATAGAATTAGGTTCAAAGAGTATGTTTGTAAAAATCTGGGAGGCAGGAAAGTACACATGGTAGTGCCTGTGTTCTGTCCACCCTGGACTCTATCCAACAGTCAAGATTTAAGAACGTGCCTACTGTGTGCTAGAACTTTGGATGTGAACAAACAGAATCAGTGCCTTCATGAAGGTGACATTCCCGAAGACATAATAGACAACCTAGAAGCAGATACAGGCCAGGACACATGCATGCTGCATATTACGTAGAGCAGAAGAGGGGGTGACTTAGGGAATAAAGTACACTCTTTTTGAGAAAAACATTATCACTGGAATGATCTCACAGTTGTGGGGGGCAGAGTTGAGAGAACTTCAGGCACATGTAATACTAGCAGCAGAGTTCTTGGATAAATTAAAGTAGGGGTCTTCTGTTTGATGGAAACATAACGGGTGTTTACTGAGGAATTATGCAGTATAGAGGGCTTTAGTTAAGTGGGTGGCATGTGTTACACTGCTTTGTATACAGCCCTCAAGGGTGGCATACGACAACCTGGCCGGAGTCTGTGCTGCCCAGCAGAAGGGGGAGTGTTGGATTTGTGCTCCTCAGAGCTGCACCCCCAGATTCTCTCCTGCATCTCAGGCTGCCTCTGTGGGGTCTGCAGGCCTTCATTCTAGCTTTTTTTTTTATTGCCTACTCTAGTGATTCTTCGATTCTAACTGCTTACTAGAGTTTAAAAGAAATACAAAAACCTATGCTCAATCCCCATTCCAGACCAGTTAAATTAGAATCTCAAAGGTGGTGCCTGGGCTCAGTAATTTTTAAAAACTCCCCCTGTGCTGCTTATGTGCACCTAGGGTGAGAACTACCACATCTCAGACACCTCTCATAGTGATCTCATCTGCTCCAGGTTAGGCCTCCCTGGCACAACAATGAAAACTCCTTCCTCAGCTCAGATCTTCACCCTTCATTCTATGCTGAACACTTGCCTGCTATACAGCCCTCCTTGAGTAGGCCCCAGGTCCCTGATTGTACTGAGCCAATCATCTTCCCACTCAGACTTGTTCGAACCTCTTACTGCGTTTCTGAAGTAGAATTAAGGGTATTGCCCAAACCAGTAACCTGGCCAGCATCCTTGGCCTCTTCCTGCCCCTTCTGTCCTTCCTGTATCTCATCGGTCTCCCTGCTCACCTTTCCTCAAAGATGCTGCCTTAGTGTGTATCTGCCAGGAGGTCTCCCTGACTCCCGGTAGACCACAGCCAATGTCACTGCCTCCTTGAGGTTAAAACTCTCACTTTCGAGGCACGTTAGGTCCTTTGTGATGTGTTCTTGCATATCTCCCACCTGGCTGTCCACTGTCCTCATCCCACCTCATTCACACCCAGACCCTGTCCTGGAAACACACCCAGGCCTGGTGCTCTGGCCTCCTTGTCCTTACATGTGCAGTTCCCTAGGGAAAAGTGGCCACAATGCCACCTACTACCATCTTCACCTGACCAGCTCAGAGTCACCACACAGTAGTCCCCTGCCCTGGGAAGGCCTTCCCAAAACATCCGGTTAGTTATTCTGGCTCTGTGCCTGGAGAGACCTGTGTTTGGCTTTGTCATGACCTTCTCAGTAGCCTACTGTATTTTTCACTCACCTCCTGGGCACCCCTTGAAGCACAGACTACGTCTTGTTTATTCTCAGCACACAGCAGACAACTGAAACATATCTGTGAGCAGATGAGTGCTAATGAGTGCTAATTCCAGAATTGCTATAGAAAGGCCTAGGGGTAGCAGTCTGATAGGAAGGGTCTAGGGAATTTACCCTGAGCCTGCATCTTCAACTGACATTTAATGTTTGCCTTTGTTGTTTTGAGAGTTGCAAATTCTGCAGAATGATTCCTAAAAAACTATTTTTTCACACTTAGATTGAGAAAAATATCAGTTTTCTAATATAAAAGGATATTACATTAATTGATTTGGAAAGTATTAGAACATTCCCTTCTCTTAGGAAAAGAGGGAGGGAGCAAGGCAGAGAGGATATGGGGAAAAGTAGACGGAATGGTAAACCATGAGCTTCTTTTGAATGATGAATTATTTGTGGTTTTAGTTGGCAAGAAAGTGATGGTAGCAAGGCATTAGCATCAGATGTACTGCCAAGCCTCCCAACCCTTCCACCATTATCTTTCCCTTAAACTACAGCCTGTTTCATACATGGTATATAAATTGTCAGTGTTTTCTTTTAAAGATACTTCTCAAAGTGTCACTTATACATTGGATCCTATTTACCATGTACAGAGGTAGTATGGGTAACTGATTCGATATTATTCGGTGTGGAGTTCTGTAACACCGCTCATCGTTAAAGACCCACATGTCCCTGTTCTCCCCCTTTGTTAGTTACTTTGTTTCTGGAGTTCTGGAAGCGGCGCCAGGCAGAACTTGAGTATGAATGGGACACTGTTGAGTTACAGCAGGAAGAACAAGCCCGACCAGAATATGAAGCCCAGTGTAATCATGTGGTGATAAATGAGATTACTCAGGTAAGAAGGATGCTATTAGATGTGATTACTCTTCGTACTGCAGTGGTCTTCACCCTTGGCTGTACACGAGAATTACCTGGGAAGCTTGGAAAATGCTGGTGCCTGGATTCCGTGACTCTGCGCTCCTGGCTGTGTTCTGGGCATAGAGTTACTCCTTTGGTTTTTGTTTTTTGTAGCTTCTCTGATGATTCTAACACACAAGCCCAGGTGAAGAAACATTGCTTAGAACAGTAAACACTGGAAACAGTATGGTCCCTTCTTTGGTAATAAAGGTAAAAATGCTCCCTCAAAACTGCACTGGGAGTTAGATGGATAAGGAAAAATGCATTGGTTTTTAACGCTGATTCTCAGTTTTTCACGTGTACCTTCATTACAGCCCCTTCCCCATTCTAAACTGCTGACCCTTTATCTTGCACTAAGCCTCAGCCACAGCTCCACCTTCTGGTTGAGATGTGCACAAAACAGAGTGGCTGTTATCCTAAAGTGTGTGTGGAGGGAGCCGGGAATCAATGAAGAAGGGAACCATGTACTGTGGCCTGACAATGGTCAGGCACTGTGCTAGGCATTTTATATCACTGGAAAAGTAGATTTGCCGCTGCTGCTACTCCTGCTGCAAGAATAAAACTATAAATCTGTATATATTCCAAAGCCTCTGAAAGGTGATTTTCAAACCCTCTGCATTACTGCTTCTTTCCAGCAACACAGGAAATTTAGAGCTGATTGTGTACTTGCAGTCCTCAGCGTAAGGACAGTGGTTTCTAAATACTCATCACTCTTGGAAAGAAAATGTTTTTACCAAGAGCACCTGAGACCTATCCCCAACTACAGATTTCATAAATTGAATCACAGACTTAGAGAATGTTGGCACTGAGAGGCACTGGCGGGAGCAGTGCAAACTCATTTTATAAATGGAAAAAATAAGTTCAGTTATGAATAGAAGGTGACATTTATCTCTTGCCATGTAACAAGCTTCCAATAATTCCCATTATGAATGGTTACCATTATTTAGGAGAGAAGACGGTCAAAGCATGTGCTGTTGAAAGAGCATATATTCAGAAATGAAAGCCAAAACTTAGATAAAATTAGATGTTCATAAAGTGTTTTGGGTGGGGGGGTTATAGTATCAGCAACATAGAAAAATGCTAAAGAAAAGATAATTTGTTCGTTTTTAAGCCAGTCAATTTCATTAAAATTGCCCACCAATAAATTAGCTAAATTTTCATTGAAATGTTGCTTGTTAAGAAATTGCAAGTGAAGATTCATTTTTCTGTTTTTTGTCCTCAATTCACTTTTGTCAATAATGCATCCTCTGCTGGTTTAGAGAGGCTTATGTATGGTATGATGGTGAAGTGTTAAGAATGAGACTGTCTGGCTCCAATTTGGGTGATCTTGGACAAATTATTTCACTTCTGTGTGCCTCCGTTTCCTCATCTATAGAAGGGGACTAATAGAGTTGCTTTCATGTTGTTGTGGTAAGGATTGAGTTTATGTACAAAACCCACTTAGAATAATACATAGCACAGAGTAAATGCCATGGAAGTAAGTGCAGCTATTACTAACCTGTAGCTACTCTTCCAGTGCAGGTAAATCATGAGAAGCATTGATTTCTTCTCTTAAGAATCTAAATTTATTCTTATAAACTATACAATGAAAACTGTCCAGAACATGCATGCGATACCTAGTATTGCAGGCATCCACGAAACTGTTTTCTTGCCTAAGCTCTGTGCTAGCAGCATAGTTACTTTTAAAACCCAATACAAGCCCAGAAATGTGGTTCTTATACTGAGACTCCTGAGCTTGGGTCATGACAGACAAACAGGTTATTATTTAACCTTGTATTTAAAAAAAAACAAAACAGTTATAACAGTAAACACGACACATTTTTGTGTGTGTTTGAAATTATAACAAAAATATGCAATTATGAGGAAGGAGACTGTGGTTACAAACTAACATGTGTAATTAAATGAAGCCTGAGATTTGTTGGCAGATCAGGAGAAGAATAAGTTTATTGGTTAATCCCTTGATTGACTAAACTTTTTTGTGTATTAGGAAGAAGAGCGCATCCCCTTCACTGCCTGTGGAAAATGTATACGGATAACCCTCTGTGCCAGTGCTGTCTTCTTCTGGGTAAGAAACTGGCTCAGCTATTTTTTATATAGTTTCAAAATTTTTTATTATATGAAAATACTTTCAATATATGATTTTAAGTGCCAAGGAAATAAAAAGCCAAGCCTGGAACTATGCGGTCTCGGCTGTCTTCAGCAAGCTACTCGTTGCCACCTGGAATAACCCTTAAGGTTTCGAGCTACTGTATCTGTCCACGGTGGTTCTCTCAGATCTTTGCATCTCCCTAATAATCAAGCCAGTGGCACAGGATTTTTCCAGTTTATGGTAAAGAAACCAAACAGGAAGCATGAAGAATTACTAGTGTAAGCCTGAGAAAATAGTCAAACCTCAGTAGTGACCCAACCCGGGGCGCGTTAAAGTGCAATACCCTGTCTCCCGTTTCAGCCAGGCTCCATGTTTCCGAGCTCAGCTGTTCTCCTGCTGGTGCTTCGAGCATCACTTCGCCCCCGCCTTCCTAGAAAGCAGTTTAGCAACATGTTTTGAGAGTCTCAAAAATACCAGTGTGCTGTATTGCACTAATTTGTCTTTTAGAAACTTTAATCAACAGATATTTCAACATGGTAAATAAAAGTAAAATTTCTTCATGCTGTTTTTCACAACATCTATACACACGTTCACATGTATATACACACACATATATTTCACCCAAAATGTCCCACTTCAGATCCACCACATAGCCTTGGGAACATGTGCACAGGAAAATATTTTATGATCTGTAAAAATGCTGTCCTTCATAATGAGTTTCAGGAAGGATCAAAATATGTAAACTAGTTTAAAATATGCAAATAATTCATAGTTCCAAAAGAATTATGCCTATGTGTAAACAGAAGGTAATTTTTCCTATTTTTCTGTATTATAATTAAGTCTGTCGATTGTGGGTGGCAAAATCAATCTCCAATCAATTTAGACAACAGCAACAAAAATGCGAGGGGGGTTACTGTTCTGAGGTATGACTTCAGTGCAGGTTTGCTGCTGCAGCTTAAATATGAGTTCTGTGCTTCATTCTGTTCTCCTTTTGCCTCAGGTGTCTTCCCAACATGGTGGTCAGAGCACTGATGGTGGCAAAACAGCTGTAGCATTCCAGATCTCACCTTATATCTGAGCGAAAAGAGGTCCTTTTTAGTAGCTCCCTTTATGTTCAAGGCAGCGTCTTTTCTCCTGGGCCCTAACATAGCTCCTTACATCTCATTGGCTCTTAATGCAGAAGCAAATGGGATGAGGGACCATATTTGTCTCAAACCAATCAGGATCTGCTGCTTGAGCACCATTGGGGCAATCCCTCCCCCACTCCAGAGCTGAAAATAGAGGAGGGGTTACCCCCCCCAACACAGCACCAAAAATAGTACCCGAGTTCTCCTCTAGGATAAGGAACAGATCCAGTCCAGCCAAACTAACCAGTTGTCCATCACAGGGTACTTGGAAAACTTCTACAGTGAGCACATACTAAAATTATGATCCAAAAAGCAGTTAGAATCAGAATAATAAAACTCTTGAACAAATGCTTCCGGGTTTCTGTAAAGAAATGTCAAATATAGCCAGCATCCTTGAAGAAGTTTTGAAAGTTTGTAAAATCTCTGGAATGTATTAGAATTCATTCCATAAACCACACGAGAGGTAGTACCTGTAGAGGTCAGCATGCCCGTGGACTGGTGGGAATCCCAGTCCTTTTATTATTAGTTACTTAATGTTCAGCAAATTGCTAATTCTCTTAGATTCTTTTTTCTCATCTATTAAAAGAGATATAATACTAGTATCTACCACAGGCCACCAATATACATGTGCTGAGGTGAAGAATAAAAATTTAAAGAATGCTATTACAGTCACTGAACAAATAAATACTGATATAATTTTTAGAATTATATTTAAATGGCATGCCTGTATGAGTTGTGCTAAGTGAGGGGGAGTTGATACATCATCTACTTTTTCTCAGCCTTAGCAATTTTTACATACATCTTAATTCATTTCACAAGTTAAGACATATCTGTGAAGGGAAGGAGAAAATGAGCGAGATCACAGGGGAAATATAATACCTTCTTTACAAGCGGATTGCTTACAAAATAAGAAAATCCTCTTTTTAGCACTGGTCACCATATTCGTAGCTATTTACGTAGTGCTTGTCATGTGCCTGGACTTAAGTGTTTTTACCTGTAGTAATTCGTTGCATGGGCACAATTCCATGAGTTAGTTGTTCCACAGATGAATGCCCATTGGCATAAATGGGGAGTTGAGGTCCTAGAGATTAATTTGCTTAAGATCCTACCGCTCGTGACAGAGTGAAGATTCCAATGCCTGTCCTGGACTAATTGCGCCCTGTACTGCTCTCTGCTGGTGAAACATGACTTCTGTTACTGTCAAGAGTGTGACATGATTTTTGCCTGGTCTCTCTTGTGGCTGTCATCACGAGCAGTCAGACACACCGAGTACATAGCTATGGAGTATATTCAGGGAAGCCGATAGGGAAAACAGGGTAAAGTTACCCATCCAGAAATGTCCAATACTAAGAGTCCAGCAAGAGCTTCATGGGACCTTTAATGTACACTAGTCAGTGCCGAGAGAAAAGCTGTATATTGAGAAGTAGAATCCTATCAGTGTGTGAACAGTGCTGTGCTGGGGACTATGCAGTTAGAAGCACCATGGATTGATGAAATGATCTTGTGGAAATGCAGATATGAGTGGTTGCCAGCATAAAATCTAAAGATCTGAGTGTGGGAAGCACAGGAAGCTTTTATCAGCAGAGACCTGCTGCTGCTACAACAGTTAGCACAGGGCATCTCTGACCAACTCCGTGGCCAACTTAGACTCTCCCCTACTAGGTGATTAAGATAAAAGCTAGCACTTGCTGACTCGAACCGGTGACAGGTTTCCTGTTGGAAGGGATCATATCTCCTTAATGGGCATAAAACCACTAAATTCTAACCCAAACCATTCAGTAATTGCAGAAGGGATGTTTTCATTGGACCTACAAACACGGACTCTTTTTCCATCATTCTGGTTTTACATTGTCTGAAGGTATACTGGTTTGTTGTTGTTCTTTAGATATACTGATTTTAAACACTTTACAGAAAAATTACATAGAAAACACAGAGTTCCCATAACCCCCTGTACCGCTATACCTAATTGTCCCATGATTAACATCTTGTGTTAGTGGGTTCAATCTCCTTTGACCTCTACCAGACCTTTCCCTGTCTCAGGTCCCGTTTCCCATCCCTTCCTGTGACATTTACATGAGATTAACATCATTTTACATGTGCACCTTGTTCATTTCAGCATGGGACCAATTTCTGATGGTGGAAACTTGAATACTGGTGAGTCTCATGTCTCTGTGATCACTGTGCTTTCAGATCCTGCTGATCATCGCTTCCGTTATCGGGATCATTGTCTATAGGCTCTCGGTGTTCATTGTATTTTCTACAACCCTTCCCAAAAGCTTCAATGGGACAGACCCAATCCAGAAGTATCTGACCCCACAGATGGCCACATCCATCACGGCTTCCATCATCAGCTTCATCATTATCATGATTCTGAACACCATCTATGAAAAAGTGGCAATAATGATCACTAATTTTGGTAAGATCCAGGCCTGTCTTAGCCTGTTGTGTATTCCTGAGGCATTTTCAGAACCTGATAAAAATAGACTTGCCTGATAGCCATTTACATTCCTATAGCTTACAATTTTTAGAGATTTCCGAGTGTGAACCTATTTTATCTAGCCTGTATCAAAAAAGAATTATCTACAGCTTTGTGTGAGTAAAAGGAACAAAGCAAAGACAATCATTACAATGTCCAAGCTCTGTGTAAACAGATCAGTACTGAATAATATTTTCAATTACATTAGATCATGCACTCTGCTGTTGAAAGCAAATAGTTTCTTTATTGCAAATATGTAGAAGAGGGCTGTAGTTCCAGGGGTGGGTATGCTCCTCTTGCGGAGAGGACAAGCATTCACACAGCGGCGTGTCTTCCCTCGTGCCGTTCATATTAATATAACTCTCATCCTCTCTGGCTTTTATAATAAATGTTTTTTCTCCTGGCGTGTATCCCAGGCAGCTGCTTAGCGACCAGAGTTAAGTACCTCCCACACACTGCACATATCTGGGCCATTGTCTGAGTGGACTTCTCTGTGGTCATCTGCCCACTGTCAGAACAATTCAGAGTCCAAACTAGGTGGATGGCCTGTTTTATCTTCCCCTATGCCTCCAGCAAGCTGCCGCTTTTTCAACATACTCACCCTTGTGCAACTCGGGAAGATAAAAGGTCATCTAGCAAGCAGTTCAAAAATAGCTTTCTGTCAATTTAGACCTAAGACAGTTCAGCCTAATATGTGTGGATGGCCTGTTTTATCTTCCCCTATGCCTCCAGCAAGCTGCCGCTTTTTCAACATACTCACCCTTGTGCAACTCGGGAAGATAAAAGGTCATCTAGCAAGCAGTTCAAAAATAGCTTTCTGTCAATTTAGACCTAAGACAGTTCATAGCCTAATATGTGTGTGTGTGTGTGTGTGTGTAATTTATTCCTATGTACATTATATAAATATGTTTTTACTTGGGATGTATTTATGTGGAAATAGAACTTGTATAACAATACTTAAACTTGGAACGAACATAGTGGCTGTATTAAGAAACTGAAAACAGTTTAGGTGGAAACAGTGTAAACTGTTTTTTCAACATGTCAAGCCATGTATAAGTGTCTGATTAAGGTCCCAGAGCCTTTCACAAATTTTAAATCTTTTCTTTATTTTACCTACAGAACTCCCAAGGACCCAGACTGATTATGAGAACAGCCTAACCATGAAGATGTTCTTATTCCAGTTTGTCAACTACTACTCATCCTGCTTCTACATAGCATTTTTTAAGGGAAAATTTGTAGGCTATCCAGGAGACCCAGTATATTGGCTGGGGAAATACAGAAATGAAGAGGTGTGGGAATAGAATTGCATTCTCTTGACAGTTTTAAGCTGCTTCATGTTTTCGCTCAGTTGCCTAATAAATTGTTTCTTCATTGTATATTCTTTAGATATTTTTAGCCCAGACAAAATATAAAAAATGAAGTTAGTAACTATGCTTCTTGTTATACCCATCTAAAACCTAAGTGAGATTTTCTTTTCAACATTCTAGTGTGACCCAGGTGGCTGCCTCCTTGAACTGACAACTCAGTTGACAATAATCATGGGAGGAAAAGCAATCTGGAATAACATACAAGAAGTATTACTTCCGTGAGTATTAAATAGTATACTCTTGAGTAATAGGACAGAGGACAATTAGCCCACCCACCCATGTAATTTACCTTGGTAGCCAAAGAGCTGTATATCTACCTCTAAATGGATTAGAATCTATTATAATTAAAGGTCTTCAGACAAGATAGTCCAGCCAGTGGTTGAAGCATATATAGTATTAAATAATTATGTAAAACCTTCCTTATATTTAATGAAAATCCCCCCCTGCTGTAGTTAGTGCCTCTTAAGCTGTTATTGGCTCCAGCAAATCATAGGCCTTTAAGAGAGCGCTCTTGTTACAGCTGTGAACTACATATTTCCACAACTTTTCACTGTCCTCCAACCTCTCCTTTGTACTAGAGTTTTAAATCAGTGATAGTGATTTGTTAAATTCTTTGTATGTGCCCATCACTGCATTAAGCAATATATAGTTTATCTACAGGGTAATATTTATAGTTGAATCTTCCAAGCTATCCTTGTCTCTCTTTTGAAATGATGATCTTTGGCTGAAGTTCACACTGGCAAGACCCCATGACTCCAAGCCCATGTGAGTTCTGCAGTGAAAGTTCTGGGGTAGAGGGGTAGCTCAGTGGTAGAGCACTTCTAGGATGCACATGGTCCTGGTTTCAATACCCAACACCACCAAAACAATTTTTTTTTTTTATTGAGTTTATTGGTACATTTAGGGATACAGTACAGTTACATTCATTGTTGGGATCATGTACCTTTACATGGCAAGTCTTGATTCTCATTTTTTCCCCTTACCTCTGCCCTCCCTTCCCCCCCTCCTCCCCTCCCCATCTACAAACACTTTATTTTCATCTTTTCATTCTCTCACATTTTTTTCTTTTCCCTTTTTGTTCTTCCCCTACGTATCACACCTTCCCTACACCTTTAGCTCCTTTCCTCCCATTTCTAAATGTCAGTAATCTTATTAGAATCTTATGCATTGTTGCAGAATATTCACACCAGGGAAA